ATTGCAGGACTCACTGGCTTTCTTTCTCTCATGTATAATTCAGATACCAAAACCAAAGCGATGCTAGTGGCAAAAAACTTAAACAGAGTGAGAGAGTCTTTAGCTGCTGATATCGTTATCATATTTTATTATCTTTAAGCCCCTGATATTGATATTATTAATAATAAGTGATGTGTCAATATATTATGAATAAAGTAGAACAGAGTGAACGACAATACGATAAAGATGGACATCATCAGTCCTAAGGACAAAACGATAAAACATAACTGACAACTGTGATGCGGTGGACGCCGGACACATAACACAACTATAAACATTATAGAAAGAGCTTACAAAATTAAAAGGTATCATATACAAAATACATTATACAATGAGGGAACTTAACGTTATATTTTTTTAATTTCTTTAGAGAGGCTGGACCTGGTGGCTCACGAGAGGAAAGCATGAGAGTCGGAAGATTATACAATGAGGGATCCTAATGTGTTTTCTCATTAAAAACAGATAAGTACTTGTAATCTTTTTTATTCTTTGTTATAGAGGGTGGACCTGCAGTGGCCCACGAGAAGAAAGCAGGAGGGTCGGAACAGACGGGCCTTGACTCCTACGGATCGAGTCACGTAATATATGTTCAGAGATCATGAAAGTTTTCACGTCAGTCACGAGAGTTGTCATGTCATGTGTTTAGGAGTTGTGAGAAGGATCCGGTAAAAACTACTAATCTGGCATCATTAAGCGTTTGGTGTAAGTTGACAATAGTGGTAATATGTTGGTTGTCGAATATGTCGTTGACGGAGAGGTAGTAGTCATGAAAGTACTGCCCCATCAACTGTAAAATGGCTGGATATTGCCCGAGAAAGTTTAAGCATGCACTCGTGTTTGATTTGCAAATAGTATGGAGGTGTTTGTCCACATTTATATACAACGTAATAATATGAATAAAAATATGAAGCAACAAATGCCAAAAATGCCTTATTTTGGATTTATTGCACAAAAACTGATTTTCGCCCAATTTTGCTAACTTCTGATAGAAACCTGTTAAAGACTTCTAGATGCCGTTAAACGTTGTTGGTTTATAACCTACCGACCCGCGTCGAGGAAACGGCAGCAAAGCTTCTAGTAAAACATCTTCCAAAATGTTTCCTTCTATTCTGATGATTTTCTATTTATCAAATCATATTCTTTGGTCATTTTACTTTCAGTACCCCAATCGTGTCTTGTGCCATCCACAGTTAACTCATTGGTTGGTCATTCAAGAATAATTCAATGAAAACAGTGAAATTTGGGTCGAGGAAAGCTGAAATCTGAAAATTTCCTACCGGTAGGACACTTTCATAATTTTCCTTTCATCAAAGATTTCTTCAGATACAAAGGTTTCTTCAAATATTTAGCTGATGGTGACTTATGTTATTCACTGATTAGTGATTGATCACTATCATGGTCAAAATTCATTCAAAATTTCGGTCAAAGAAACGGCAGAGAAGCTTCTATTTAGTTAACTGAATAAATCAAATATTTTTTAACAGATTTCAATTGTATACTGATTTTTGTCAAGTGCATATCTAATCTATCTTCAATTTAAATTGAGTTCAATCGAATCTAAAATTAATTTATAACTTTTGCTCTGATTAAATCTACAATTTATTTTGTTCCATTCATTGTCAATGTAATTAATAATTTCGATTTCGCTCATCAGCACTGATCGTCATTTTTCAAGAGCTCTCCTTGCACTCCCTGTTATTGATATTCCATCGTCTCTGCTCTAATCTACACCGTCATTTTTTTCACCTTCATCTCCATCATCGTCTCCATTATTATCTCCTTCATCATTTCCGTTTCCATCGCTATCATTGTTCCCACCGTCATCCTCAATGGCTCGCTCGTATATGTTATCAATGAGAACGAACAACCCAGCAACGTTCTCCTCTCCAGTTTCCCTGATCTGGATATACAACTAACCATTATCCTGTACAGTGTACTTCTGAATTGTAAAATTAAATTATCCTAAAACATAACATAAAATCGGTAAGCTATAACATTAACATTAGTGCTATAAGATCAGTAACTGTAAGATAAAGAAAGCAAATATAATTATAACGTTATGAAATTAATTTCTTCTAATATTTAAGATTAATTTGTGAATCCTAAAATTGCAGTATCTCTATAAATTTTTATATAAACAAACAAAATCCCGATTCACCATAAAGTCCAGGGGTGTAGGAAGCGGGGGGGCATCGCAAACGACCATTCGTAACCTTTCACTTAACATTTTTTCAAAATGGTGAAATGGAAAAAATCAGCGTATAATCTTTGGAGCACGCTTCTTTTCCTTGTGGTGATTTCTAAAATCACGTGACTTAACTTTTCCGCAGTTTTCTCCCAGCTGTTCCGTAGCCCGATCTCCCTGTTTGCCTCCCCAATCTCACTTATCAGCTTCTTATTTCCCGCTAACTTCTCAAACGCTTCCAGAATAGCTCCTGCGTCTCCTGGAGGTACTTTAAGTCCATTCACACCGTTTTCAATAAGCTCATCAGGTCCCCCTACCGCAGAAACGAGCATGCAGCAACCTGCCGCCATTCCCTCAATAACCACCAGTCCAAATGCCTCATACAGCGAGGGGACCACCATTATATCCGAGGCTGCCATATACTCAACTAACTCACTCATTGGCTTTGCCCCAAGGTAGTTGAACTGGGGGTACTCTTGTAGAAGGTGCTCTGAGGGAGACTTCTCGTATTCTCCGATAAGGCGAAAAGTGAGCGGTATATTTGTTTTACTGAGTGCCTCGAGTGCAAACTTTATTCCTTTCCCCGGAGAAAATCTCCCAACGTATAGAACGTTCATAACGCTGGAAGAAAAGTTTAACTTATTTCTGGAATGTTCCTTGTCTAGATGTTTGAACTTCTCGAGCTCAATGCCTGGAGTAATGTGAGTTGCTTTTGTTGCATTGGTTAGCTCTTGTTCATTTCTAAGTTGATGAACTATGCATGATGCTTTTTTGTTAATCTTTCGCTCCACCACCATTCTTTTTTCACCAATTTCTGTTATCTGTTCCGACTGGAACTTCAGGATTCCCAAAGAATGATGAACGTGTACTTGTGGTAGTCCTAATTTAAGCCCCACATACCCACTCAACCAGTAGTTGGTGAAAACAGCTTCAAATTCAGTCGGATCGATCTGAGAGGTGAAGTTGTCGAGGTGATAATAGAAAAGGTCTTTAAAGAGATGCTGCTGGGGCCCTGCCACAATGTACTGTAGTCTGAGGGTAGAGGACAAGGTGACCATCCCAACTTGGTCCGGGCTTTCACTTCTTGTGAATACAGTAATGTTGAAGCCTAGGGTGGACAAATGTTTGCTTACTTCTCTTACGTAAGGGACTTGACCTCCTTTTCCATAACTGAGTCTTTCGAATGGGTTATCGGCCATGGAGATAATTGCAGGACTCACTGGCTTTCTTTCTCTCATGTATAATTCAGATACCAAAACCAAAGCGATGCTAGTGGCAAAAAACTTAAACAGAGTGAGAGAGTCTTTAGCTGCTGATATCGTTATCATATTTTATTATCTTTAAGCCCCTGATATTGATATTATTAATAATAAGTGATGTGTCAATATATTATGAATAAAGTAGAACAGAGTGAACGACAATACGATAAAGATGGACATCATCAGTCCTAAGGACAAAACGATAAAACATAACTGACAACTGTGATGCGGTGGACGCCGGACACATAACACAACTATAAACATTATAGAAAGAGCTTACAAAATTAAAAGGTATCATATACAAAATACATTATACAATGAGGGAACTTAACGTTATATTTTTTTAATTTCTTTAGAGAGGCTGGACCTGGTGGCTCACGAGAGGAAAGCATGAGAGTCGGAAGATTATACAATGAGGGATCCTAATGTGTTTTCTCATTAAAAACAGATAAGTACTTGTAATCTTTTTTATTCTTTGTTATAGAGGGTGGACCTGCAGTGGCCCACGAGAAGAAAGCAGGAGGGTCGGAACAGACGGGCCTTGACTCCTACGGATCGAGTCACGTAATATATGTTCAGAGATCATGAAAGTTTTCACGTCAGTCACGAGAGTTGTCATGTCATGTGTTTAGGAGTTGTGAGAAGGATCCGGTAAAAACTACTAATCTGGCATCATTAAGCGTTTGGTGTAAGTTGACAATAGTGGTAATATGTTGGTTGTCGAATATGTCGTTGACGGAGAGGTAGTAGTCATGAAAGTACTGCCCCATCAACTGTAAAATGGCTGGATATTGCCCGAGAAAGTTTAAGCATGCACTCGTGTTTGATTTGCAAATAGTATGGAGGTGTTTGTCCACATTTATATACAACGTAATAATATGAATAAAAATATGAAGCAACAAATGCCAAAAATGCCTTATTTTGGATTTATTGCACAAAAACTGATTTTCGCCCAATTTTGCTAACTTCTGATAGAAACCTGTTAAAGACTTCTAGATGCGCTTAAACGTTGTTGGTTTATAACCTACCGAACCGCGTCGAGGAAACGGCAGCAAAGCTTCTAGTAAAACATCTTCCAAAATGTTTCCTTCTATTCTGATGATTTTCTGTTTATCAAATCATATTCTTTGGTCATTTTACTTTCAGTACCCCAATCGTGTCTTGTGCCATCCACAGTTAACTCATTGGTTGGTCATTCAAGAATAATTCAATGAAAACAGTGAAATTTGGGTCGAGGAAAGCTGAAATCTGAAAATTTCCTACCGGTAGGACACTTTCATAATTTTCCTTTCATCAAAGATTTCTTCAGATACAAAGGTTTCTTCAAATATTTAGCTGATGGTGACTTATGTTATTCACTGATTAGTGATTGATCACTATCATGGTCAAAATTCATTCAAAATTTCGGTCAAAGAAACGGCAGAGAAGCTTCTATTTAGTTAACTGAATAAATCAAATATTTTTTAACAGATTTCAATTTTATACTGATTTTTGTCAAGTGCATATCTTATCTATCTTCAATTTAAATTGAGTTCAATCGAATCTAAAATTAATTTATAACTTTTGCTCTGATTAAATCTACAATTTATTTTGTTCCATTCATTGTCAATGTAATTAATAATTTCGATTTCGCTCATCAGCACTGATCGTCATTTTTCAAGAGCTCTCCTTGCACTCCCTGTTATTGATATTCCATCGTCTCTGCTCTAATCTACACCGTCATTTTTTTCACCTTCATCTCCATCATCGTCTCCATTATTATCTCCTTCATCATTTCCGTTTCCATCGCTATCATTGTTCCCACCGTCATCCTCAATGGCTCGCTCGTATATGTTATCAATGAGAACGAACAACCCAGCAACGTTCTCCTCTCCAGTTTCCCTGATCTGGATATACAACTAATCATTATCCTGTTCAGTGTACTTCTAACTAGGCAAGTAATATTTGAAAAATTTAAAGCACATATTTTGTATGAAAAAACACCACATCAATAACACAGTTATTGTTACTTTATACTTCTCCCTCAGAGGAAAGGTGAAATCTATTTGAAGGATTAAAGACACCGCAGGACTGAAAAAAGTGTGGCGGAAAAGATACGATGAGCGATGCCAGAGACCAGAATATAAATTTCCCATCGATATGTTTAACCTGATCTTTGGGGAGTAAGAAACCACAACTAATTTACCTGATCTTTGGGGAGTAAGAAACCATACTCGCTCTGACCATCTGGCCTCAGCTCGAACCCGTAAGCATCAACCACTCCTAGTTTGTCGTAAACCCAATCAATACTGGACCCGCTCACCATGTACAAATCTACCGCCACTTGTATAACCTTGTAATCTTTCCCATGTACTCCTGTAAATTGTAATTGAGGAAAATTTGTTCGTTTATCGGAGAATGTAAAAAACTTTTAAAATTATTTTCCTTTCTGTGGCAAACAAGCAAACATGAACCGATCAATGGTTTACCTTATCGAAGCCTTTAAATGCTTAAATATAAGTGGTAAAACTCGATCATCGCCAGAGCTACACTTTGTTTTACCTTTTATAGCCTCCACAACACCTTTCCCCACCTTCATGTGGTGTTCATGGTGTGGGGGAGCTTCCTGGCTGTGTGCCCAGGGAACCAGGAACAGTTGAAGGTAAGCGTGGTACGAAACATACAAAACCAGCTTCCTGCCATGAAGATGGATTATAATCTTAGTATCTTGAGTGCTTATGTTTTTGGTGTTAGTTAGTTGGTTGATAGTTAAGCGATTGTTGTTTTCTGAATTCTAGCGTTGGTTTATAATTAATTTGCTTCAACTTTATACTAGACATGACCTTCTTCTTCGTAAGGGGGCTTACCCAGAACTTGATCAAATTGTCAGAATTAAATCAATAATTACCATACTTACTCCTTGTTTTTCTCGAGGTAGGTTTTCACAATATTGACACAAGGTTGATCCCAATATTCTTTTCCGGGAAATACGATCGTACAAGGGTTATCACTAACTCCTTTTTTGGAATCAAACTCTGCATCCCAATTTCTAAAATTTTAATTAGAGTAAAGGTTTCCTGATCATAGAAAGGGAGTCACAACTCAAACTAACCGTCAACTAAAAACACAAGGAAATATTCTCTGAACAAATGTTAAATTTGTCATCACCTGTTGGGGTCCGCTCCCCAGCAGAAGTAATGTAAGCACCCTCCATACCACATACGCTTATTTTCTTCGCACCCTCCTACGTCAGTTCTTGTTTTTCTCCACATCCTGAAAATTCAGATTCAGAACGCAATGAACCTTGTTTAGAAGGTAGACTAAAAGAGGCATCATTTCTATTAATCTCACAATCAGTATTATGAAAAGGTGATGGTTATTTATAAGTTTATAGTATGCAACTACCCATAACAAATCATCATTGTAAATTTATATTTATATACAAGCTATATTTATTATTTATAGCTACAAATTTATATTTGTATACACTATATAAGCTAAATGGTATTACCATTGGTAATAAGCTTCACTTCTAACCTGTCGCAGACTTCAGTTTTCCACTGTAGTGCCCTTCCACTGTCACCATCACAGCTGAATACATACCCGTCAGGGTTGATAACCGGGGCTATTACTATTTGGTACCTGTCCAGTATAATATCAATCTGAAATAAGAGTTTACGTTTTACCGATCTTGCCATCATGCCCTACCACCTATATAAGATCCTATAACGGTCAAATTAGGTTTGTTGCTGGAGTGCAGTTTGAGTTAGAGCTATTTAAAAATTACGAACTTTACAAGTTCTCAATTTTACACTACATTGTACATACCGTGGCTTGTTGGCCTTTTTCTTCCTCCCCAAGCATGGCATCCACAAAATACATCATTGTAGCTGATGATACCCATTCTCGAGAATGAATACCTCCGTCCAACCAGACCATTGGTTTTGAATCGGATAGTTTTGTGTTGGAAATATGGTTCGTTATACGAATCGCCTGTAATACAATGCATAAAGGTATATAATATAAGTATAATATAAGTTGAAAAGAGTAAGGTGTAAAGTTGCCTTCGAGCTCACAGTCATATCATTGCCACTATCTTTGATATGTATTTAGTTAAAGGATCTAAGTATTAAGAATCAAAATGTGATAATTATGTGAACCTTGATCTCTCGGTTTTCAAATGTTTTCCCCTCCAGAGAGAACACCTTGGCTTTATCTGAATGGGTTGCTGCTAGTGCTTCCAGTCTATCAACCATCTCTCTGAGGTGAAATCAATTGAACTGGATAGCTTAGTTTGAACCATTCAATATAGGGATGAGAATTAAGTTTTCATCGCGGCCGCCGGGATCATGGCCCTCAGAAATATTATGTATAGTTTTTTAATTGAGCACAACTTACAAAAACTATCGTTTCAAAACGAGTCAATTCACTTCCCCTACATTATTTGCCAGACATATCATGTAAAGAAATTTGTCTACAAATAAGTATGTAATCTTACTGGTAAGAATGGTAATCATCGTGGAACGATTCGTCGATGGAAACACTGTCTGAACTCCTCCCAAGTTTAGAAATCTTTTCTTCTGCTTGTTGCTTCATGATTTTTCCGATATCATCATTCTGAATCTGGTTACGATTAGAAAATTATATCTATTATCTATAGATTAGAACTAATTTGAAATCCACTAAGCTTAAAACTCCTTAGATAAATCATTATATATCATCACTGAATTTATCATCGAGATTATAATTTTTCGCCTGATAAGACGTTTAAAGATTCAAACCTTGAATTCAGCGTAGAATTTGTCCAGTGTCTCCAACACTGCACTCAGATGTTTTGGACCAACCATCAGGTCCATAATACCCCTCACTGGACACAAAACCAGGATATCTACTCTTCCTTTATTCTGGAGATGTTTAATTTCATCTACAATAACATCTGTTGAGGAACTGACTGTCACCCGCAACACCTGAAATTAATCATATTGAGTTTGACAACAGATAGAATACCAACATCTTTACGTATCTAAAATCCTTACAATCCACGCGGCATCCAATTTGCGCTGAATGTGATGTTTATAATTGTCCAGTGGATCCAATCAAGCTTCTACGATGTCATGGACTAGTTTTACTGAAGACTGCTTTCAAGACTGATTCTAGTCTAAAATAAACCAGTACTACAAGTATGATATAATCATTAATCATTAGGTATAGTCAAATGATAATATTGGATCCAATTGGATACCATGGAATGTTTTCTTAGGTTTCCTTGACTTTGAAGCTGCTTTACGGGGGCAACTGGGAATTATATGTACTACTAAATCAAATCTAACCTTGTAGTCGAGTCGAATGTGCAGCAAATTAATTGGATTGGAATGTTTAAAACCCTGTAAATTTCATTGAGCAAATATGTTAGCTTCATTATTGGACCTTACCTTGAATTCGTCGTACTGAGCACATTCCACTAGCTGGACACATTGATAGCTGAGTACGATAAACAAAAGACCACGAAGTAACCTTGAAGTCACCATGTTTAACTATCAGCCGAAGATAAAGGCCAGAACTGGAAGGATACTGATACGAGTTGGGTGATCTTTACACGGTCAGATGTACGAGGTTTTACTGACCAAATAAATAGTTGCACCAGAGGGAAAGATAATGAACTATAACATCACCATATGTCTATTCTACTTAATTCGGGTTCCTTGATTCGTTTTGGATCATGAGTATCAATATCATATGGACACTTCAAAACCTAAATCGAATGTTTCGAAGTCAGAGATTGTTCGCGAAAATCAGGTTATATGGCATCACCTGTTTTACTTCATTAAAGGGCAGCCTATGTCGTAAAGGTGGCCTTGATTCCCAGTTTTTATGGGTACTAGGCAGACCATGGGCCAGAGAATAGGATTACGAACTTTAATTTACAAATTGAAAGTGAATGAGAGCGAAAATACGAACAGCTGATTCCACGTTTATAGTTGTAAAATGGAGAAAAACTATTATGTTTCAAAAAGTCGTATCAGGAATGTTCCAGAAATGCAACTTATTATACCAGCACCAAGAACAGAAAAGGTATTACAATTGTACAGCAGAGATAGTTTGAAAATGTAGATGTATCAATTGTTCCATTTCGATCGTTCACCAAGAACAAAAGCAGCCAGTGCTATAAAAGTGTGCCACCAATATACGATTAACCGTGGGAACTAAGTGAAAGAGGAAATTTCAAATTAACAGTTTATTTAACGAAATTCACAGTGTTTCATATCACAAATTGACATTTTACATACATTTTTATTCAATCGCGATCGTGGAAACAGAGTGACTATCACAATAAAACATATGACGTATGTAGAAATTAGCCAATAATAAATAACTTTTCAATTTTCATTGATCGACTAGGGGGCATCGCCAATCACCACTTTCGACATTTATTTTGGGTAAAAAAGCATAAAATTAGAAAAAATGGCGATGCCCTCAGTGATCGTTTAGCTTGATAATGATTGCATAAAGAAATATTTATCTTAGACCGTACACATGAAATGAATTAATGTTTACAGAATTAACTCTTCGAATTTATATGTTACTTACATTTAAAATGATAAGCAGTATTGTTATTTCATATTACACCACATACTGTACAGTACAAACATAGTATTACCACTATCTAATTTATAAAAGTTTATATGCGAACGTTTGAATTGTTTATCGCTTATATAATATAATATAACAATTTTACAGTAATTTTTTGCACTCGTCTAAAATTCAGGATTATTTAATAATTAGAACTGACACTATCTGTACAAAATTATGTCAAAATATTTATCAATCTCCAAACTTCCTATCAATCAAGAACAAGAGGAAGCCATGAATAAATTTTATTTTCACATTTATTTTCACATTTGAAGCTTGCTCAAATTGTCTACTTGACTAAGATCAAAGATGTCTAACAACATTTGCTATAACAACTGTTGCTATAACAACATTTGCTATAACAACAGCTGCTATAACAACAGTTGCTATAACAACTGTTGCTATAACAACTGTTGCTATAACAACTGTTGCTATAACAACTGTTGCTATAACAACAGTATATCTATATTCTGTCGGAGTACTCTACTCTATCGTTCCGGTCACTGCAACAGCGTTATTGAAGCTCAGGGAAGATCTGTACATTTGGGTCCATGTCGTATTTTATCTCGAGGTAAACTGTTTGATAACTTGAGGGGCGCCCTTTCTCCTTCTGAGTTGATTTATTATGTTAGAGAATATACCAGGAATCTGGTTCTCTGACCAAGATCCACATTGAAGTGCAAAACAATTAATTTAATTTTAGAGCTACTGCATTAGAAATCTGACAAGGCACCTCAGTTAGCAACGAATTTACCATATAACACATTGACTATAACTAAAGGGGCACCTCTAGAAGTAGGCTGCAATAAAAGAGACCAAACAACTTATTAAAACTAACCCCTGAGGGATCCTGTTCGTCTAATAGGGGTGCTCTTGGTGGTTTGGAGAACTGGCTTAGATGTCCCGGGATTCATCGGTCCTGACTTGGGACCTGTTGAGAGGGACTTTACTTCTTGGGCTGAAATAGTTTCAACAGTTAAAACTTATTATTTCAATAGGTAGCACATCGATTTCGAACTTTGATCTGAAATCCTCCAATCTTTTGAACAATTGTTCTCCTTCTGATTAAATCAAAGTTTATCAAGTATTTTTCAAAACCTACTAATACAATTTGTTAACATTCATTGAAGCTTGAACAGAGCTGAAAAGTATCATTTCATTTGCACTCACGTTTCAGAGAAGCTTCCTTTGTAGCGACAGTTTATTAGATAGCTTTATTCAATAGCATAGCTCAGCCTCAATGGTGCGAAAAGCAGCACATATTAGGTGACATTCACAAAACATAACGAGTACACACGATATACGGCGGACACTGGACATCTAGTTCTGACTTACGATTTGAAGTGCGAGATGCTGGCTTGACTGCGATAGCTTTAGAGCCTCGCTCTACTGGCCTACTGGCCGGTACGCTGCTAGATGATGGTCGACGAGTTTCTACTTTAGCTGCTGAGAACACTCACGGATCAGAATAATGTTTCTGTGTATTACCAGTACCACACCAGCCATATTATGTTAATGTAGCTTCCTCTATGTTTTTTTCAGATAAAGTCTCACCTTTGACATTGGTAGTTTTAGGGTTTGAGGCGGCGGCAGCAGCGTAAGTGGGGCGTGCAGTGGCGGGGCGGGACGTCGGGGCTGATTTCCTAGCTGGAGCAGTTCCCGGTCTTTGTGCCGGCCTCCTCTTAGGGGGGCCAGTCACTGGAGGTCCTTCAGAGGGGTATTAGATGTTACGGTTGATTTGTTGTATTGGGAAAAATTTCATTGAGGTCGGATCAAATTTAAAGGGGAAATCTTGATATCACTCATAATATGTTATTCTAGTATTCTATTAGTATTGCATACTAAGAAAAATTGTAAAATGTTTGATCATGAGGACAGACCTGCATTGTGAACAGGACACGTGTTCTTTGCTCTAACTGCTGTAGCTTGTTGAGAAATAGCGTTCAAAATATCATCTTCATCATACTTTTTCGTCCGGAATGGCTTCTTTTTCTCTGAAATTTTAATACATGATGGCAAGATTATCATCTAAAAGTATGCACAATTTATTATTTTTTAAGAAAATCAAAGATCGAGGACAGGGCAAATATAGTAAAACACTTCTCTTCCCATGTAATTTCATGCGAATCAAATGTAAACAGTAAATGTCTTAATAGTACAGACAAATCCGTCTGAAAAAATCGATCTGCTGACACACGAAGCTTTCAGAGGATTGTTGACGTTTTTGAGTCCCATTAGGTGCCCTTTATGGCTGACCAACTTTTCCAAACTTTTCCACTTGTCTTAAGGCCACTTTTTGCCACTTTACCACTTTTTACAACCTTTCTTGTTTGTCAAATATCTTTAGTTGTGAACATCGTAAAAGGTTGCGGATCAATCGAGTGTGTTCATATTATCAGGAAGAAAAACTTTTGTTCAAACAATTTTTACGTCAGATAATAAGTTAATTGGATAATTATCAATTAACTAATTAGCAAAATTCTAAAAAAATTTTATTGGCTAAAAATGATCGGAATAGCTTGAAACACGGAGAAAAGTAGTTTTTAGAAATCATTTGAAAATTTTTCACTTACATTTTTTTTCGAGACTTCGTTTCAAGAATACTTATATCGCCAATATTTGTAGTTAGAGTTCAGTAAATCTCGGCAGATTTTAGTAATCAGGAATTACTAAGTGAAGAGGTCTGAAACTGAAAAACGTTAACCATACGATCGCGCGGCATTATAAGAGTTTCATAAACTAATTTTCACAGAAACTGCACCAATGGCACAGTCAAGATCGAAACGATAGCCTGCTGTACTGTCATTTTATTGATTTCAATGATGAATCAGTGGGGTTAAGATAATCACATTTGTAATAAATAAACATCTCTGTACCGTCAATTGTGCTAATCTAAACCAGCCTTGTATTACCAGACCTGTATTACCGGACCTGTATTACCAGCCCTGTATTACCAGACCTCTTCTTTTCCTCGACAATCAAACCAAGTTGTTCATATCGCATTTGGTGGGTGATGTAAGTAGTAATACATATCGAGCTGTATTCAATCACAATACGACACAATGCAATACGTGTATATTATATTATGGCCCTTAATGAGGTAGGTATATGAAGCGTTCTATACCGTACACTTCTCGCTTCTCCCGTGAGAGGCCCAGTATGGAGAGGTTTTACAGTTTAGCACGAAAACGTCTACTTGGCCTCATGGCTCTTTCACAGCTCAAAGAAGGCAAGAAAAGACCAGAAAGCTTAAAATTTCAACTCGCTCTTTTCAATGCTCTTCGATCTGTCCCACATTAATCCTGAGCTGATCATCATGGCCCCGAATATCCTACGGGAAGAACCTGTATTTTTACCTCACGACGTCCGGATTTCAAATCAACACCCTCAATAACATTAACAATCCTTCCTGATCAGGATCTGTCTCTATTAGCAATTTCCAAAATATCCTGACTCTCGTGGAGCATTTCACTGAATGAATTATTACTGGTTCTTTACTACCCCTTGCCCGTCACTGGTATCTACATCTTACCCTTGCCAGTATGTTACCCTTGCTGATTTTACGTTTAGCCGACCCTGACATATGGGGGTGATTTGAGGTAACCACCGATCCAGCATAGTAAATGAAGCGGTATGCAGAACAATACAAAACAAGTCACAGTTGATGTTGGAAGGTGTATTTACAGTTTACACTTGCTTCCTGGACCTGGCTGTTCCTTAGTTTCCCTGATCTGTTCTTGCCTTCTTCGAACTGTAAATGTGCCATGAGGCCAAGTATACGTTTTCGTGATAAACTTTAAAACGTCTCTATACCGGGTTTCTCACATAAACCTCATTAGTCATCAAGAGCCATATAATATACACGTATTGTGTCGTAGTCTGATTGAATACAGCTCGATATGTATTAGTTTCAATACTTTCAACACTACTATATAACAAATAATTTGAATGACAGGATGGATTACTGAGGGGCACCATGTTAAGGTGATTTAAGTGGGTCCCAATCCCAACCGACCATTCTTCTTTGTGTCATGAATACTTGCTTCATCATCTCCTTTTAATAAAAATCACGGTGTCTTTATTGACTAAGCGCATTACTACTTACATCACCCACCAAATGCGATATGAACAACTTGGTTTGATTGTCGAGGAAATGAAGAGGTCTGGTAATACAGGTAGGCTGGTTTAGATTAGCACAATTGACGGTACAGAGATGTTTATTTATTACAAATGTGACTATCTTAACCCCACTGATTCATCATTGAAATCAATAAAATGACAGTACAGCAGGCTATCGTTTCGATCTTGACTGTGCCATTGGTGCAGTTTCTGTGAAAATTAGTTTATGAAACTCTTATATCGCCGCGCGATCGTATGGTTAACGTTTTTCAGTTTCAGACCTCTTCACTTAGTAATTCCTGATTACTAAAATCTGCCGAGATTTACTGAACTCTAACTACAAATATTGGCGATATAAGTATTCTTGAAACGAAAAATTCAGTAAGTTTTTTTGAAAGGCATTTTTCTCCGTGTTTCATGCGATTTGATCACTTTTGGTGGAAAAAATATTTTGAATTTCGAAATTTTTTTCAAGTCTCGAAAAAAAATGTAAGTGAAAAATTTTCAAATGATTTCTAAAAACTACTTTTCTCCGTGTTTCAAGCTATTCCGATCATTTTTAGCCAATAAAATTTTTTTAGAATTTTGCTAATTAGTTAATTGATAATTATCCAATTAACTTATTATCTGACGTAAAAATTGTTTGAACAAAAGTTTTTTTTCCTGATAATATAAACACACTCGATTGATCCGCAACCTTTTACGATGTTCACAACTAAAGATATTTGACAAACAAGAAAGGTGGTAAAAAGTGGTAAAGTGGCAAAAAGTGGCCTTAAGACAAGTGGAAAAGTTTGGAAAAGTTGGTCAGCCATACTGGGATACTGAAGGGAAAGGAAGCAGTTCTAACGAGCTCTTCTCAAACACAAGGATATATCTTGTGAACTTGGCTAGTATATTATATATATATGAAGCATTTGATATGGAGTTGCAGAGGGAGTTATATGCCTCGCCGGGCTAAAGTAGTGGATGACCTTGCTGTATGGCAAGTTAAACAAGGATCTGAAACTACTAGGTTCCGTACAGACTCAACTCTGCACCCGTGTCAATATTTTCATTATATGCAAGCCTCTTGATTTATAAAGGGCACCTAATGGGACTCAAAAACGTCAAAAATCCTCTGAAAGCTTCGTGTGTCAGCAGATGGATTTTTTCAGACGGATTTGTCTGTACTATAAATCGATCGGACATAAAAAGTGAAAAGATATTTGGTGAGAGATCAGTGGACACATTAAAGATATCTGGTCAGAAAACATTGGATTTATAAAAGATATATCTGGCGAAGGATCACAACATTCGTGAAAAACATCAAATCACACAACTAACTCTGAGAAGACCGGAGTGTCCCGGACCATTTGTGAACTTTCTCATCTCTCGTCTGACCGTCCACTGAAACACGCCTCAAAGATGAAACATGGGTGGTAAATTCTTCCTATATTGGTTTATGTAGTAGTCGGATATCTTCAAAATATTGCAGAAATTCCAACTATTTAACTTACTTTTGTCCTGATGTCTTGCTTGGTCTCTCTCGTCCCATTCCATGTCTGTTTTTTCTGTGTGTGGTTTCGCTGAAATTGAAGACACGTCAGCTATTTATAATATGTAGATTAAAGTAAGTGTTAATTTTGACATTAGAAGTGTGTAACATTTATTATTTTTAGTTTAGTAGTCAGATAACGGATAAAACTAAAAAGTTGCAGTGCTGCGAACATGGGATAGCGGAACTTACAAATCACTTTTTGCAAATTGTTTCTTCTTCCATGATAGTCATATTCACCATCACTTGCCTTCCTAATAGCCTTCTTCGATGGTAATACAATTGAGGCTGAAACGGTCAAGTTGTTACTTTGAAGGGTCAAAAGACAAAGTTTATTTCAAAGGTGAATCGTAGCGTAAAATAATAATTATTGCCATAAAAAAGAAATACATTTTGGTTGATCAGACTCTATGTGGAATTGTAGATAAACACAGAATTGTGTGAACTAACCGGACTGTAGTTCTCCCATGTTGGGTATCTGAATACCCCAAGCTAAAGGTTTAATTGCACTCTCGATAGCTTTAGTAAACACAGCTTCACGGACGTGACCCTCAGTAGGGAGGTTTAGACCCTTGGCTCGCTCCTCTTCAAACACATCGTCATCTTCTGAGATAAGGAGATAATCTTGTTACAGATAGATATAAATTAGCTGTATAACTTCATCTCATACAATCAATGGAGAGTAAATAAATGCATAGGGAAAACAATCAAGATTTTAAAGAATCAACCGATGCAAAGGCCAAACAGAAAAAAACAGATGAAAGTTTTGAAACTGACCTGACTTCATGCGTTGTTTAGTCGGTAGGGAAGGAGTGGAAGAGAGTGACTGTTTACCACTGGCAATACCAGAATCTGTCGACTCCCTCACTGATCCTTTTAGAATAGACCTGAAAACAAGAGAAATAAGTAACAAATTTGTAACAATAAAAGAAACATAAATGGACGATCCGCCAATCACGCTATTAGTATTCGTAGTACATAAAATGTATGCGATGATAAAGAAATCATATTGTCCTAGATTTTAAGCTACCCCATCAAATAAACCTTGTATGTTGATCCTGTTCCATAATAACATCGGGGACTTTATCATAACTCGTTCCCAGTTCGTCCCCGTCGCTCGTCTCGTAATCCTCGTGATATCCAGACGATGTATCTGACACACCTTAACAAATCAACTTCAAGATCAAAATATTTTGGCGGCAAAGATTTTTGATCTAATTTTTCGGAAATAAAATAGAATCCAATGCTAATTGCTGACTTAAAAACGGCACAATCACTGTACACTGTACATGGTACACTGTACAAACTACATAAAAAGTGGAATCTTTGACCAAAAGATAAAAGTCTTGGCTTGAAAATTTAAACTGACATGGAAGCCACTTTTTCGATAATTTTTGAAGAATAAAATTTAACAAAACACCCTCTTATACGAAGCTCTCGGACGCAGAAGTTTTGCTGACCTTTCTCCGAAGATGTGGATCGGTCTGAGTCTGAAGTGTGACCACTGCTGTTCATTGATCTCTTGCTACTCCGTGCTGGACCCTCTTTTTCTTCCTCTGATTTCTCGGCTTCAAAGGAATATCTCCTAGGAGCCAAGTTAAGAGTACTGTTGTTCGGAAGGGGTGTTTTCTCAGGTTTCATAACCACCTCCTCTCCCTCTGACAAGGGGTGCTCTGCTATTGCTCCTTCTTCGTCAGCCTCAGCTTCTTGTATTACTTCTAAATCTTCAATCTCCAAATCATCTTTTGGCTCGACCTCAATAGCTTTAGGAGGAGGAGATGCTTCTTTGAACTGCTCCTTGACAACAACTTCTTCTACCTTTTCTGGGGGTTTCGACATTTTGACGTGCTGCAATTCAGGTTGGTCTTCTGCCTCGACAACTGTCTTCTCCGCCTCAACAGGGGCAATGGGCACCTTCGCCGGTACCACAATAGTTTCTTCTGCTACAGGTTCTTTCTGAGCTTCTGATAATTCGACGACAAGCTCTTCGGCCATTGGTTTCACTTCAATGACTTCTTCGACAAGGAAAGTTTCGTCGATAGGAGCTGGAATGTGTTCCATACTTTCAGCGAGGACATCTTCCAGTTTTGACGGTTCAAAATCTTCGTATTGATCTCCTATGGGTTTTAAAGGCGGCGGGAGATCATCTTTTTCTTTCTTCTCAATGTTAGAAACTGTTGATTTAACAGGCTGAATTTCTTCCATTAGGACAGTTGGAAGTTCTGTAAATATGTCTTTTACAGCAATATTATCAACTTCAACCACACCTTGGTCAGATTCATCGGACGGCCGAGGGACCTTCATCGGATGTTTCTTGATCATATGCTCAAGTCTTTTCACTTTCTCAGCAAACGATGAAGTTTCTGGTTCAACTTTTTCTGCAATAACTGTGGGTGGACTCGCGGTTCCGCTGCTTGCACTTCCTTCCTCAATCATGATCGGTCCTGGAAGTGTTCCTACAACAGTAATATCTTCTGAAACAGCAGCTGGAAATGCTTCAGCAGATGGCTCTTCAGCCACTGGTTCCAAATCAACAACCTCTAAAACTGGTTCACGGTCTTCATCACTTTTACTTGTGGTTCTCTGGAATTCTTTTATAGACTCTTCTAGGTCCTCCTTAGCACTCTCAAGTTGTAATTGACGTTTTGTGATTGACTCCAGAACTTCTAGGCGCCTTGTTACTTCAAGAAGGCTTGCTGCCTGCTCTTTTTCAATGTTATCAACTTTATCCGTTTCAACCTTGGGCTCTAATTCTACTGACTCCTCTTCAAGATTATCGACTTTACTCGCTTCGACCTTGGACTCTTCTACTGGTTCCTCTTCAATGTCATCTACCTTATTTATTTCAGCTTTGAGTTCCTTAAATGGCTCCTCTTCAAGATCATCTATGTTTTCCACTTCAGCCTTAAGCTTTTTTTCTGGCTCTTCTTCAAGATTATCAACGTTATAAACTTCAGCCTTTGGTTCTTCTATTGGTTCTTCTTCAAGATTGTCTATGTTATCCACTTCAAGAACTTCGCCAGACTCTTCTTGCTCATCATCAACAGCTTCGGCCTTAACATTTTTCTCAAATTCTTCGATCGAATCTTCCACTTCAGATTTCGCTCGCATATACTCTTCCATTCTCTTTATCATAGACTCCGTTATTACGGGTGTTGGTTCGTCCTCTAGCTCTTCGCCTGAAATGAGATGTTTGCAAAATGGTTAAAACATGAAAAATTGTTAAATAGTGGCACTGCGTGTTATGACTCCTATATTTTTCATGAAAAATGATTGAATGGCTAAACTGTTATGTGTGCAAATCCGAAAGCTAAAATTCCATGCAGAAGAGAATGTTGTTCTATGAAACCTTCAGATATGGCAAGTTCGACTTCATTCATAGCCTGGAGTTGCTCGGAAACGTCGTAACCAGACTCAACGTCAGCTACATAAATATGTTTCTCAGCATCTTCAGCCTCTTCCACCTCGTCTAACTCGTCCTCCCACTGCTCTTCATCTTCCTGTCCTTGCTCAACAAGATCCTCTTCTTCTAATTCCTCTTCTTCAATTTCCTCAGTCGGAAGAAGCAACTCAGTTACCTCCTCTTCCTCTTTTCCTTCCTCGGGCTCATGTCGCTCTGTTATCGACCCCAGCAGTTCTGAAGGATCCAAAAACTCTACGGTTGTTTCCTTTTCTCCATCCTCAGAAATGTCTACATCAACTTCGTGGGTTACAGCCAGTCGATGTTCGGCGGGGTATTGAGATGAGATGGTGACAGCGACAAAGACGTTTCCATCTCGCTGCGGTCCATCAACTGGAATATCTTTTCCTGTCACTGGTATATAATGATATGTTGGACAATTCTTGTGAGATGTTATTGAAAAAGCATGCAGTGTAATTTAAATGTTTGGAAGCGTGCGGTGTGGCAACAACTATTTTATACTTTTGTTGAGACTATCGTGTAGAGGAATAAAAGCGATTCATTGCTTGCACAAAAGTACTTGTTTGTAAAACATAACATTTCCATTGTTTTGAATATAAAACGGCTTGAAGAGGGCTGCAAAAGTCAACAAGGAAAAAGGAAACGGAATCGCTCATGCTCACCAGCAAAATATGTTAAAAGTTCACATGTCACTAAATTGACATTAAGCGTTATGATTAAGACACAGGTGGAATTTTCGGGAAAGTTTCTGTCACATAAGTGGTAACGAACAGTTTGCTTCGATCACAAGACATTGCAGTACCTTGGCCACTGTTTGCTGAACTCAAGCTATCATGTCTAGCCTCCCCCATTTTTGAGGCATAATTATCAGCTCCAACTGCTTCGTTCAGTTCGTCCTCAGTGGTGCCTCCCTCGTAGTCAGAGTCTGCCGGTTCAGCAGAAGCACGAGCAAGGGGTTCAGTTTCAGGCTGGGTTTCTGCTTTGACAACTTGAGGTTCTGCTTCTGGCTCAGTTACTTGAGGCTCTGCTTCAGGTTGAGATATAAGCTCAAATGGGAGCGGTGCTTCAGATGCAACCTCAGTCACAGACCCTGCTTCAATAGTGGGTTCAAATTCTTCAGTAGCATCGTCCTCATAGTACAGCCCAATAGGTTCGATTACAAGTTCTTGTGAGGGAATGTCTTGCACGTCAAACCCTGGTGAGTTTAGTGTGTCCAGCCGAAATTAGGAGAGCAGAGGCGCATCAGAAAAAAAGATGTTCATGCAGCCAATTCCACACAAATAAACATTGAATATGTTCAACAATTCTCAGGAAAGCTAAAAACATGTAAATGTCAAGCCGTTGGCGGCTATCTAGAATACTGCCCAGCCATAACACAGTATACAATGAATCGATTAACATTTAGACTGCATACCTGCATCATCACTGGGCAGTTCCTCTAACTGATCCATCTCCGAGCGATCCTGGTCATCAGTTATCATGTCGGAGATATCCTGCAAGGTGTCCCCTCCTGAAGATAAATATGATCAAGATTAGATGATAAATTTTATGGAATCAAGTGATAATCATGCATCTACGATAATTGAAATAAACAATTCAAGTAAATAGTTTTAACAATCGTCCAATTAATATTCACGGGTAACAAACAGTCTCTCAGTCTTACCTGACAAATGAGGAACAGATGAGTCTCCAACCGTTGCGTTCTCTGTAACCTTGGCAGGTTTAGATTCCGCAAGAGTATCCACCCCAGAATCTGGAGCTAGATCGGTGACAGAAGGTTCTGGAATCGGAACAGAGGGCTCAGGAAGAGGGCCAGGTTCCCCAGCTTCTGGAAGGTTCTCAACATCAACATCAACTGCTTCGCCAGCCTCACACTGGTATTGCTCTTCTGCTATTTCTTCTATTGCTGCTATTAGTGCTGGATCAGTGGGTGACCTTACAACTTTCTCTGAAGTGAAGGGAATTTTTAAGATCCGATCATTTGACTTATATCATACGATCATACATTTTGTGATTCACAGAACTGCAAAATTAGTACGAGTTTTAAAATCAAAATTGTTTAACCACCTTCGTCTTCAACTTCGCCATTGTCCTTCATGATCTCCATAGCTCGGCGAATCAGTTCAGGCGATGTTACTGAGTTTAAATAAAGTTGTAGTTTAACTACATACTAAATAGTTGTTCTGGTTTTCCAAAGAGCGCTCAACTGACATGCAGGAGCATTCTAATAACAATTAAAACAATGGAAATTGGCGGGCAAAAAATTCGTTTGCCCACCAATTTCAAATGTTGCAATTGTTAGTTTAAACATTCAAACAGACGAAAAATAGTTTGAGCTCAAGACAGTCAAAGCACTTGAACTTCAGCGATAAAATAAAACCTATACTCACTTTTGGGTTTGCCAGAAACCCTCTGAGTTGCCCGGTTGTATTGATCAGACTTTGGCAGGTTCTTGCCACCAACAGGGATCAGTCTCTTGTTCTGCGTTGGTGGCTCCTTCCTATCTAAGGTAGAAGCGCGGTTTGGCTGCTGAAAATTTGGAGTCGAAGGTCCGGCCTCCCCAGATGTTCTGCTGGCCGGCCTTTGCGGGGTACTGGCGGATCTGGATAGATTAGAGCGGCTGTTAGGAACGTTCTTCCAGGGAGGATGGGAAATTCCTCCCGGTCCAGATCCGGTGGGTGAAAGCGGATTAGCAGGGGACGGTGTTTTGATGGCAGAAGGCGAGGATGTCCTTAGCAATGAGGCTTTCGTTTGTCGTGGGGTAATGATCGGCTCTCTAATAGAATTGGGACGAGGAGTAGGACTGATGAGAGATTCTCTAGAGACAGAAGGAGATGCTCTGACAGGTGTTTTCTTAGGACTAGCTGCTCGTGGTGCTGGAGTGCTAGCAGACGGTCTCAGCGGAGACTTTGTCGGTGATCTTGTTCTAGGTGGAGTTGCTTTCCTCATGGGATCAGCAGTGGCAGCTATAGCAGCAGGAGAAGGAGAGGTTGCAGGTCGCTTTGGTTTGGCTGGGGGTACAGCAGCTGGGACTGGTGCATATGTCTCGCTCACTACTGGAGCAGGAGCACTGTCCTCTTCTACTTCTCTTTCTGGTTCTCTTTGAGGGGTTGGCTCTCCTGAGGGTAGCATAATTTGGTTAGTGATACAGTTCCACACTAAAGTAGAATATCTGCATCCGATCATGGGAGAGACGAAAGTTATCATCATCCATCAATAAACTCTCGTAATTTACAAATTAGCAACCATTATCCAGCCATATTTTATTTGCTCACTAACTTCTCGGTGCGGGCTGTTCTTCCTCGTTACTCTCGAATCTTTGTTTCAGTTTTCCAGTTGGAGATTTCCCACCGAACGAATCTACAATTTAAAAATAATCATGAACTTGTCCGCAAAAAATCCAGGCCACTTCTATTGATTTTGTTGCGTGAAAATGTATCCCGCAAAATTGCTGCTGTCATGCAAGGAATAACGTAAAATGTAATCTCTACGGCTCATGATGAATCCTTTTATAAACTTTAATCTAACAAATGAGTAATCTGCAGACAAGTGAAGTATCAGTGAATGTGACCCACCCATAGGAGCTCTGCAGGGGTCCATCTTGCTGAAGTAAGCTGAGAGTGTTTCCCAACCACCACCAACTCTCACCATCACATGAGATCTCAGCACTCTCACAAACACTATAGACCTTCCTTCACCTACCTGTGTTTTATTTAATATCTTGAAAACAAAGTGAGAGATTTTTTTGTTTCATGACTTTTAAGTAAGGATATATAACATTAGATGGTTGAGTTAAGATTACCATATTCAATGACTATTATGTGTATGACAGTAAAAACGAATCAAGAGCTGATTAGGAAGAACACATTCTATTATTATATTATAACTATGATTATTATTATCTACACAGCTGATAAACATAGTTCTACACTGGGTACCGACCTTGTAGCGACCTTCAGATACTCTGTTTACTGTGAAAGGAATAGAGCAGTTACACTCCGCTGCACAAGCTTGTACCTGACATGAAATCAACTTTTAGTTTACAGGGGGAAATTATTTTTCGAGGGCTGTAAGAATTCGTTAGCTAAACTAAATATAATCAGCAAATGGGCAGGACATACAACATAAAACTTGTGCATTATCACAGCAAGATTAAAGAGCCGATTTTCTCTTTGAATTGAATGAAACCAAATGTTGTTATACAATTATTAAATCATATTAAATCAAAGTTCTAAACAAGGGATAGTTTTTAAAAAACAACGCCCAAGTCTAATCTTTCCCTAAAACAAAAACTAAAAATTAAAAACTTCATTGCAAATTCCGCCAATATCTCTTGTCATAACTCAAATTACGGAGATAATGCAGGTCAAAGATATTATTCAAAGATGTTATACAATATACATTTAAAATCAATTTAAAGACTATCATACTGCCGATAGATACAATATCTAATATTCGACTGAGGTAGTTACTCATAGTCATACTGAAGCACTAACCCTTGATATGGTTGTATACCTGATGAGATGTACTTGGTGAAGATGCATCATAATTTGTTTGAAGACGGTTAGGTTTGAGGATGCTTCTGTACCTTTCCAAGTGCCTCACTATGGCTGGATCTAATGTCGAATGTTTCGGACAGAAATTATGGTTCGTTTCAAGAGATAACTTTAGATAAAACTTCATGGATCTGGCAAGACGCTTTGCCGCTAACTCAGCCCTGAATTTGGCTATCTTCTTCTCAATATGACTCCACTGGGTTGGCTGATTAAAAAGACAGGCAGTCTTCGTGCAAGAGTGTCTCCTTCGGCCCGGCCATGTTCTATTTAAACTACCAGTACCATGAATAGGACATGATGGACGCACTGTCATAATACCGACTACTTGAGAGAAGAACTGTAAGCTTTGCAAAACCAACGATGAGAGAGCAAGTACTGCCGCTACTAGGACACATTGCACTATTCAGACCGTCTATAATAAGCAATCAATCTCTGGAGTGCACAGTAATCTTAAAGTCCTGGCGTCCTTTTATCATTCGCTTATTTGAATGGCAGTCCCATACTTAACTATAAAACGGAGACGTTCGTGCTTGTTTATTTGTGAGGACGTATCGTGCATCAAATAACGTCAACGAATTTGATTTTGATTTTAAAGCATGACTCATTAGCTTGAGTTTAATGCTTCACAGGCTTCACAGCCACAGAAATTTGATATTTTCTGAAGCACGACAACAATTGCTTTGCATGAAGGATAAAATTTCTTGTAAAGAGGAACTGGAGAAAAGAGTGGCCGCCGAAGGTACCCGCATGGGGTTACCCTAAGGCGACGCTTGAATGCTTAGATGAGAGGACCGCAGCACCCCAAGAGGGACATGCAATACCTTCTCATCGAGGGTTGATGCCCCTTTAGGAGGGGCGGGCATCGGATCCTCCAGGCTCATTTCCAGTTTAATGAGGGTAGGTGGCTCGATTCCAAACTTAACACCAAGTCGTCCTACCTCCATTAGGTGTACCACAATCTGAAGGAATGCTTGCCACTAAGAATCAAATGTTACACCGTTATTTACCTGTTCATCCAAGAAGGACACACCCTTCTTAGGTTTTGGTTTGGGTTCTTCTGGGGTTGGCTCAGGTTCAGGTTCAGGCTCTGGTTCGGGAAGCGGTTCTTCCAGTTCCATTTCTATTTTGATAAGAGTAGGAGGCTCAATGCCGTGCCTCACTCCCAAACGCCCGACTTCCATCAAATGTAGTATTATCTGAGGCGTTATTAGAAAAACAGCTACTTACACTTTTTAAACAGTTAGATTAGCGTATAGAATGCGGTAGTGTTATTATCTGACCATCGCTGATTCTTAATTCCAAATTTTTGTCAGAATTCATGACACGCTACTGAAGGTGGCTAACTCAAAGTAACTATTTTGAAAACATGTTTAATCTTGTCATCATCTGTGGTCCATTCTAGCTATAGTCACAATTCTTTTATCGAAAACTAAAAATTTAGACTCATCGATTGGAACGTTTTAACAGTCAGAGCAAGTTACGCCTTTTCACGAGGATCATGCAACTTTAATAATTTGAGCAAGAATCGCGGTTTTATTCAAATCTTATACAAATCAGAACGAATTTTATCACTATCTAGATCATAGCAGATTCAACAAGCATTTGACCAATAGAATATTTAAATGTCTAATCTAGATCTTAATGATCAAGTCATCATAACGAAATATTAATTTAAATGTTGAAATAGGCATTTTAAACATTTCTTTTTAAGCGATTTAATTAAAAAGACTACCTGTCGATCATTTTTCCTCAACGTAAGATCATCCGTTTCAAATCGGCAAGAGTGTTTTACTCCAAACTCAATGCTCCAATCCAAAAAGTTACTTATGTTGTCCCGGCAGTAAAACGGCGGGGACTTCCTTGTTGCATTCGCGTACCTAACAGAAATTCTTTATCGAAAATGGAATGAGACTTTTGGTGGTGTCAGTGTGGATTCGGTGTGAGTATTGTTTAGGCAAATTGCAAATGATAAAGTTAATTTGGAAAAAAGCTCTTCGTTTTTGGTAGAAGCTGTTATAAACTACTGACTTGAGACTGGGAGGTTTGGAGGGTACCAGTGAGGTATCCTCGGGGTGCTCCTTCCTGTACTTTACTGCCATCCTCTGCATGTGGATACCCAACTTACACAGATGTACTCCGGACTGTAGCTCCTGAAAAACAAGGGTTAAGCGGGGGCGTGAATCTATATATAACATGATAGTTAAAAACACGATCACGATTATCAAAATCACAAGTCTGCAATTGCACGAAGCTTGATTGATTTTCATTAATCGTGAGTTGTACATCGCAATGAAAATCGTAGAAACTGATAAAAGTAGAAGCTGATAATGAATCTGATAAAAGTAGAAGCTGGTTAACAATCTGGATTACCGGGAAGAATCGATTAGGCTGAATCTCTGCTCTAATCATTTTGTAGAGCCACTCAGCTAGATCCTCTTTAAAGGGCAGAAGCGGATCATAACCTGAAAACGTAAATTGTATCAAACAACCTTTCCAACGACAACATCTCGCTAACACCAATCAAAACCATTGAAAAATAGACCGACAGCAACAGTATTCTATGTTCCAATTAAAGTAATGATAAGCACCCACTAGAAACTAAAAACGTACCAGCGGAACCAGCGTCTTTACACTGGACAGTTGAACAAGTAGCGATAAAACCTAGTCTCTTCCTGTTCTGTGCGAGTCCGGAGGAGAAGAAACAGTGAGGGTCATAGTAGTCATCGTCGTCATAGTGATAGAGTTTCTCGTAGGGATTGCTGGCAGCCCCGGGGTCGGCGGGATGTCCTGCAGTTGCAGCGCTCATCCCTGCTAGAGAGATACCATGTTAGTAAATATATAAGGGAGGTGGTGAGGTGAGAGAACTAGAAGGTAATATTAGGGGGTGTAGTAAAATTACGACGAAAGACTTCGCGAGATAAGAAAATCTTAACCATTTTGTACACGGCAAAGATTGTGTGACATGGAACAATGGGCTAAGTTGTGCATGTACAGAGGATATGAGATTGTCATATAGTCGAGATAATGACCAGTTTAGGCAAATCAGAGGGCCACTGAAGCAAAACAATGGAATATCACCGATATATGAAATTTAAGATCAATCTTCCGGAAGACAATGGGGCTACTTAGTTAAGATAACCATCATCAATCATCACCCGTCAGCACTAATCGCAACTATTTTCTGCTTGCTTTGCCAACTTATTGATTTTTAAAGCCACCAAAATTTAAGAATCTCAGAATATGCCGCTGCCACGCGAAGCTAGGTGGCTATAATGAAGTTAAAAAGTGGTAAAAAGTCATCTGAAAGCCAATGAAATCATCAATAATGGAGACTTATTGTCTAATCTGCATATGAACACGATCATACCACATGCCCACAATCAGATGGTATTGATAGGGCGGCCACTCCTAATATATATATATATATAGAAATTGTCAGCACTATTCACACAAATTGCGCCGATCGGAAGCAACTACAAGTTGAGGGACGCAAGCTTCAAGTCGTGATTAGTTACACATGAAGACTCTAACAACACACACTGTAACACACACTGTTTTAGTATGGAAGCCACAGATAGCGATTGTGATTGGTGGCTGATGAGGATGAACCATCACAGTTTACATCCCACATAATTGTATGCACGATAGAATATGGTAACATCCGGAGCTCAGTTTTACGATGAAAGTTATAAATTATAACCTTTAGCTTGATTTACAGCTTCTTTGGAAGGGTGTTATTTATCTCAAGTCTTATTTCTCTGAGTGAGTGAGGGACACGAGGTTCAACAAAAATTTGTATGCATGGTCACATGACTTACAGAATGCATAAAATTTTTACAAATCTTTGACACCTCAGACAAAAAACATTGAACGTCGCCAACTCGGTGTCATGTACTTAATATAACCAGGGAAATGCTGCTTATGGCAAGTAGCTATAAATGCACATTGCAGGTGGTTCTGCGACAAGTTACTAGTGACTATACGTCTGACCCCGGGCTTCAAGCTCCAAGTACATGCAGGTTACGCATTATAACTTGAACTCCGATATCGCATAACATGTTAAGACTATTCATATGTATCCTGACGAATGTTTCAAACATATGCACCCTGTACCAGTGTAGCATGAGTATAACAAAATTTACATATATTCAAAGATCTAAGATTACCCATACTCCATACTCCATAGCTCTATTATAGGTCTCATATCTATACACGGGTGTGTTCACTGTTATACATGTTTAGAGATTTGCTGTATTTGGACACGAATGGAAACACACAATATGCGAGGCTTGAAATCTTCGTAAAAACTACATCATGAGAGCCACAAAGTTTTTGCTATATAATAATGTTGAAAGTGTTACATTAGAGATCTGAACTAACTGAACTAGATTTTCATTATAGGAAGGCCTCGACGGTCAGAGTTTGAAACAGATCAAAAAACATGACACTAATCATGCCAATTAAGAAGTGGTCGAATGCGTCTAACAAATGGAATATTGTGGATTAAGACATATTTTTAATATCATCAGCAGTGGATCTGCACAACAAATTTTAAACGACCAAAAAATTTTAAACGACCAAAAAATTCGTTCAATCTGTTAAATATCGAATTCATCTCTTTATAATCAGATAGTTCGACGTTTCTCAAGTTAGTCGGGACAAGATTCCATGATGATCGGAAATGCCAAACGCAGATAAATCTTCATTAGTTTCGAGACTTGCTAATAACTGTGAAAGTTGTCTGAGTAACAGGATCTGAGCCATTACTAATAACATGTGCTGATTAAGATTTACTTTCAGCATGTTAGTACAATAGCTACTGATTTACTCTTATCATGGTGACAATTCAGTATATGAGGTACAATCACGCACCCATTTCTAGGCACGAAGAACCGAACAGTTACTGAATATCAAGTTTGTTAAACCCTGAAATAAACAAGGTCCTCTTGCACTCGTTTGACTCTGAATACAATCTCTAATCCTATTATCAGTAGGTACTTACCTTTATCAGTTTCCTGGCCACGGACATACGCGTAGTTATCCATGAAATAGATAGACACTTGCAGCTTGATATCAGCTGAGCTAGCTTGACAGAATAAATGCAGATAGAAACGCAATCAACTCGGATCAAACTTTTAATGACATTTCTCGTTTCAGTAGTTGTTAAGGTCCACGACAACTTGATATGTCAGCATGATTTCATGAATAGGACAATTCTGCTAGTTTTCACCACTGCTTGTCAGGTCTATTTGGTCACGTGATTGCAGTGACAGACGGGACACTCACTTGTTAAGTGTGTACTGTGTGTTTACTGTGCTCTTATTATTTCAGTGTGGAGACGTAATGATAGGAGATACTTCTTATCAGTTACATTCTGCAGTGGTACAAAGTTGAAAAAGTCAGGTCAGCGAAATGAAAAGGTTCAAACTTTCGTGTTTATTCTTATCCATTTGAAACCATTTGTTCAATCTAAAAAATTCCAGAATTTTATTTCGTTAAATTAAACGTAACATTTTATCTCGAGTAGCTGAGAAATCCGAAGCGTAGTGAAGTGACATGTTGGTCATTGTGGCCATTAGATCAGCTGAAAACTTAAGAATTAGCTGTATGAGAAGGATGATGGCACCATGACTGGTTTTAATCTGATAATAACAATGGGATGATATCAGCTACCTTAATGAATTTATATTTCTAATTTATACTGAAGTCATAAATTGTATCCACGTGATCTACAGACTTTGATTACTAATCACATGATCTACGGACTCTGGTTGCTGATCTAAACAGTTTAACATCTACGTCAGTACTACGTCAGAGAAATAGTAGGACCAGCTCCAATTGAGTTTCTTGATGAAACTACCTACTTACTAACGATATCAGGTCGACTAAATTGAGCTAAAATCTGTTGATTTCTGCGACAAATAAAGCAAAGGAGCATTTATTTGAGGCCCACACACAACTGTGGGAGGATAGTCTTGGCAAATATATATTTTACAAACTTTATACTGTACACTTTATTGTACTATAATCATGACGCTAAAAATTATTAACTACTCAAATTACAGATTTCAAACAGAAATTAAAGCTTTTTAAAAAGTATTACAAAGCTAATCCACTACAGATTCCCTTATTTGTGAACTAAGAACGAAAGTAATACGTTTATAGCGTTTCAAAACAATATCAACTCGTAGTACAGAGCTCTGCCAATTGTATTTGAATCCCACGAAAATGAGGAGAAGATAAGAACTTCAGCAACTGTTGATATGAAGTACAATCAAGAAAGTAATGCCAGCATGATAAGGGTGGTTTGCAGCAAATCCGAAGCAAGATGAAGTTACTTGATAAGTGATGGCGTTGAGAAACATTTTAGAAACATTTATGTGCATACAAAATAAAAGCAAGAGAGGACCAAATAATGTTTCCAATTCGTGTGGATTGAAGATTTATGCAATTAGATTGAATGCAGGCGATAAGCTTTCTCAAATAAATTAATTCACTTGTACACAGCTGGTATGTCGTATTATGCTGAGTACTGTAACTTTACTATAAAAATTAAACTAAGGGATTACGGCAGTTAAAAGTTTCAAATGAATATGACCATCACTGCGACCTAAGTGCCGACCTATACACTATGGCACCGCTGATCGTAATCATGTGAAAGTTTTAGTTTGCGGTAATTCTTGAGTTTATTTTGTATAAATTCACTTGTATGACGTATGTGTTGTACAATTATTATAGATGTGGCCAATTAACCGCCAACACATATCGAGCTGAGATGGGAAACTTACGACGTAAGAAAGTTTCATCGTGAAATGAAATGTTCGAAAACAATATTTTACGTTTTACAAGACTCAAGTTGAAGTAAAATGCAATTTAATTTTGTGGTAGTTAGAAAGAAAGCAAAAACGCATGTTCGTAATAAAGAAATGTGCCCAGGCGACTCAATAATCTTAAAAGATTATTTTCAACACCAGCAGATTTAAAAGGTAAAACAGATTTATAAATGCTTGAAATCAGTAAGAGTATCATATTCATAATGTTATCGAGCAACTGACAGCCAAGAAAAAGAATCCGTTAGTACCGCACGAATGGTTGCCATGATAAAGAGTTAACGTTGACAATTTTGAAGGAGTAATACAGAACATTAAATATATAGTAAAGTAGAAATAGAGAGCATCTTTTACAGTCTCACTTGCAGATGAAATAATTCAAAATTCAATAAGCAATTCTAATTTCAGACTGGTACAGTTAAAACAGGATGAAAGCAATATACATTAACTGGAATTGTAAGCGATACTTGTTACGATTGGTCCAGACATCAGCTCGGAGGAGTACATGATTGGCTCTTTACTTCTCACACGTGGCGAAGCAATAAATTGTAAAGGAACAAATGCTCCACAAAACAATGTCTAACACGACACGTGACCAGTGCATGACTTAGGAGGGGACACGCTCACCAGTCACCTGCGAAACACATGACTTTAAACAGATAGCACTTTTCACATGCACTCTCGTTTATTGAAAACGGTAAGCGGTCAGCAGGACGGGGCACTCAATACAGGGACAAATGTGACTTTAAGTAAATACTCCTGGTCTGGCTTCACGGTTAATACATGTTGTGTCATGTGACCAGCTTGTTTACAAACAATCATGTATCAAATCACACCACACGAGGTTGCCGTTACTGAAACAACACGTGAATTGGATAGATACCGCGATTATAGTTTACAAGTTACAGCGCAGTTTGTTCCAGATCAATATTCAAGTTTATCACTTTAACCGCATCTTTTAAAGAATATTTTCCATTTTAAAACATAAGTGACAGCGTAGTTGATCAGGGCACAAAATAACAAACATTTATTCAGAATATTGTTATGACTTTATAGGTCACCCGCTATTTAATTTTAAACTTTTTAAATGCCCAGCACCACTATATTTAGTGTATTTATGAATGCTTTCTGGAACGATATTCCAACAATTGTTCTGTGATCGTGAGTAAGTGAATAGACTAATAGAAGACAATTAACACCACCACTAATAGAATTCATTCTCATCCTTTTAAAATCTTTAAACTAAAATTTTGTGAATCATAGTTATTTACATGCCTGATTTTCATGACTGTCAGGTCACAACTAATTCTGTTTGATACACAATACACATGGTATCGACCCCATGACTTCTAGCTTCTATAAGACTAGTCAACAAATCTACTAACCATGTCCTCGACCCGTCATGTGAGAGATAATCTTCAGTCATCACGCGTCAAACTGAAGCATGACAGGACACCTGAAAAAGATAATTTAGAGAGCTATCTTTAGAGCTGCAATCTTAAACCGTCTAGAGTAATCTGTAAAGATAGGTTCCCAAGAATTAATTACAGAAGGGTGCGACGAAGCAGCACTGCTCTCTACCCTGCACATCCTGTACAGTGGTGTCATGTCTCTAACCAGTTAAACGAGCGCTAATATAAAATACTCAAATACTGCCCCCTTTACTGACGCACTTTTCTTTTAACCTGGTTGGAGTGAGCTGAGGAAAGCCGGCAGTCTGGAGTCGAGGGAGGGAGGGAGGGAGGCGGGGGATAATTTGAACAGATGTTGGTCACGCCTTCTAGACTGTGCTTTATTGTGGTCTGGTTGCTCGATCTGAATACAGAACGAGTAAGGTGTAGTGGTTCATATTACGCATTGAGTTTTAAAGTGAGGAGATAATCCGTCAATAACAGAACGAGAAGGCTACTGGCGATCCTGACGTTTTATAGCCAGAGTTTATTTAATGTTGCAGTTACTTATTAATTAATTTGAATTATTCCAAATATAAATTGTTCAAAGTTCGGATGAACTTGGTTAAAATTGTATGTCAGTTCTAAAAAGCAATAGTGATTAATGATTACTGATTACAGGGACAGTAATATAAAATCCACTTCGTGATTACCTTCCAATGTTCCATCTCAATTTTATAGATTTTAGATCAGCTATTAATCTCTGTGAACAAGACTCACCGAGAAATGAGAACTGAGACAGTTGTCAATGTCGGATCAGAGGTTGGTTTTCAAATTATTTAGGAGCAAAAGTTTCATAAAGGCAAACTTAAATTTGCAAATTGTGTTCATTACATAAAGTAAAACTAGCATGAAGTTTAAAAGGCGTTTAGGCTGAAATCACACAGATAACAGCCGATGTCCTGAGTTTGGTTATACGTAGCGTAATATCGCCATTACAATTTCATCGGGGATAAATATTCCCCGTACTAAATAATCCAATACCTTACTCATTCAACGTCTCAATCCTCAGTTCAATAAGTCGACATGAATACAACTTATTCATTTTGTCAGCATGAGTGGTCAAAAACGGTAAAATTCTTTTATTAGAAACGTGACGAATATAAACGTCTTGCGAATACCACAGTTTAATGCTTGTCATAGTTATAAATACGTTAATAACTATGTTTTACTGAATAGCATAAACAAATCAAGTATAGTTTCATGTCTGCATAGCATTATCATAGAATTTCTAATTGGAGGATATAACTCTGACTCAGATATGATATTGAGATTATTTAAAATTTGATAGCCTTGATTACCTTGCAGCGTGGCGTTATGACTTTATGACCTGCAGGAATTGCTTAAGGACCTGCAGGAAACTTAGAGACTTGCAGGCTACAGGAATAATTTTGTGCAATATCTGGCGGGGAAATTCTATTTTAAGAACTCCTGGCAACCAGACACTATAGACTTATAGAGGATAAAAACATCTGTCTCCTTGGACATGATTGCTCTGTCCTATATGTATACCACGTGATCTGAAATCCTTATGTAGTGACCATGACTTCTGGGACTCCTCTGGCAATTGCTCGGTAGGCCTTTTGTACGACAATTCTTGCACAACTCCGCTTGTAACGATTGAGTAATCCAGTTACCTAAAGCAACAGCAATTGCAAAACGATGTCACGTGCAACCCGGTGACGCGCAGCAACTGGTCAGAAAACATCACGTGATCAAAACCAGGGCATCTGAATGGTTCCCACGGGGGAGGGGTGGGTTGTACGTAACAGAGATGTGAACCACACCATTGAGTGAGTGGTGTGATGTCTGTAAACGCTATCTACCTAGAGTAGGGGCCGATTAGATAGCTAGTTGTGGGTTGTTCGTGACAGTTGTCTTCTTTTCGTGTGTACTCAGTTTGAGAATCGTTGTTCAAGGTCCTTGTTTTAAACCACCCTGAAAGAGACCCTAAACCAGCGGTTAACTCCACCTAAAAACACCCTCCCAGTCCATTGAATGTCTCGTATCTTTGCTATATCTGATCTGCACACGGACTATGAAGCTAATATGGAGTTTGTCGAAAGTCTCCCCCCACACCCAGAGGATGTGCTGATTGTGGCCGGGGATGTAAGCGACGATATTCCAAGGTATGCTACAGGGGAGAGTTATTTTCTATTTTATAATTATTATTATGACCTCTATATTTCTAACTCTGAAGTAACCAAAATACGGATTGGATTTTATAGCTGTATAGTGGATAGTACATATGAATATGTCAAGTATAATACGTAGTAACTTATTACAGCCTTCCTGTTGCTATACCAATGATGAAACAGTACTCTATTGATCGAACCTTGGTCATGAAATTTTATTAAACCATTAGAGGTTATTACAGCCAATTGCACTAGCACTAGCAACCATTTGTCATTTTACCTTGATATGTAATGTCGTAGAAAGCCATGACTATAATAAATCCCTGCATCACCACTCGACAATGGTTTTATTTACAACCATTAAATATAGTCAAACGTCAAAGGTTACTCAAGGAATCTCTCATATCAAAAGTACAATATGATGGTCCATGGCGTTGACTTGGCAATGGATTAGCGCGATCATGTACTTACATACTTACTTACGTAGATCAAAGGTATCTTACTATAATAAATACCTGCAAGAGCTTTTTTATCGTAATCGATTACAGATTCTTTAGCCATTTAATCATCACTGTAATTGAACTTCGCCTTGGCATCCCCGAATTCTAGATGTCATGCATTAATAAATAATTCCTGCTTACCAACTTGAAAACACCTGCAAATGCAAACCTGCCTTGAACTTCATTCTAACGGGCTTATTGATAAAACGATAAAACAAGAAATTCTCAAGAAACATTTCCCCTAGATTGATCGAGACACTGAGTATCCTGAAAGCGAAGTACAAGGATGTTTACTTTATCCCGGGGAATCACGAGTTATGGATTAACAAATCAGACATCTCCCCAAACTCGTTGGTTAAACTATTCGAGATTGTCCGGCACTGTACCGTCATTGGTAAGTAAATATATTCACACCATCGTAGATATTTCTTAGCTGATTTTTGTTAGTCGCATAATTACTGATCTTATGTAACACTTTAAATACATTTTCTTTTTGTTGCAAGTGTTAATGACAATGAAGAAGCTAGGTGCTTTAAAAAGCTGCGAGCGTTTGCTGTCTTGCAATGTCCATGTCCCATGATCACTATAATAAACCACGATAAATTTAATAATTCGTAGATGCGGAATTAGTTTTAAATTAATCCCACATCTACGAATTACTTGTTTTAAACTAACTTTACATCTACAAATAGTTACATTTACATGTATTGCTATGTTGTACGTGGTCAGGATGTCCAAATTAAAACTTTTGTAGTTTTTAAAGTATCTCTAATCTATTAACATTACACATGCAGCAAAAAAAGACAGAGAAATTTAAAGAAATACATAGGATCAGTTCAGTTGAGACTCTGCACTGGTCTCTTTTCGCAGTTCAACTCAGAACCATTCATTTGTTAACAAATACACTCCCGGCAGGCGTGCAGACAGAGCCAGGTAAAGTGAGGTGTTTGGACGGCAATGATGTCTGGATAGTACCTCTCTACTCTTGGTACGCTGGCCCTGATGATGATCCTAAGAATACCCTCTACATCCCGGAGGTCTGACCTCGTGGAAAGACCTCACTCTTAAGGAGATGGGCTGGAGTGATGCTTACTTTTGCAAGGTGAGCTGCTTTGGGATCATTACATCAAAATATCCAATACCCGGAGATTAGAGCTGATAAAAAACATTTGCGATTGAAATATTTCTGGATTTAAAAAAGCCAATTTTAAGCAATAATAACCATCATTTTAATCTCTCAGTGGCCAGCTCTAAAACGAAGAGCTTCAGGAAGCTGCCCGAGTTTAGCTCAACTGTTTGCAGACATGAACACGGAACGGTTAACAAATGACTATGATGCCCCAGTTATAACCTTCTCTCATTTTGTGCCGCGACCCGAACTGATGAGAGCTAGCATTCAGGACGAATCTGAGATTGCACTCGAGAGGAACATCATGGTCAGTGAACTGCACTCATAACACTTCAATCATGCATTATTCCGACTCCTGACCGCACTTCCATCCAAATCACATATTACGCAAGTTTTTCTTGGTCAATCTAATATACAACTCGCTGACACGTGTTAAGAAAACGTTTGTTCTTTGTCAAATCAGATAATATTATACCTTTAAATCGATTTGTTTAACACTTTCTTTTTTAGGGGCTGCCTTCACCGGACTGGAAAGAAAAGGAGTTTGGAACTAGGTTCAACTTCAGTAGAGTGGCTGGAAGTAACATCTTAGACAGACAGCTCAGAAAAATAGGATCTATGGTGAGAAGCCATTTATTTCCCTTTTATTATGTCAATACGTCCTTTCCATTTTCACGGTCCAGCAAATAATAACCGCTACACTACCATGGTTATTTCCATGTTGTGCTAAATTCAAGTGAGTATTTCTCAGACTGTTAAATCCGACACAGTTTGCTTGTAAATCACTCACATTAAGCTCCTGAGTGTTGATATAATCCCTCAAATGAAGCTCCTGAGTGTTGATATAATCCCTCAAATGAAGCTCCTGATTGCTAATATAATACCTCACATTAAGCTCCTGCGTGTTGATATAATCACTCACATTAAGCTCCTGAGTGTTGATATAATACCTCACATTAAGCTCCTGAGTGTTGATATAATCCCTCAAATGAAACTCCTGAGTGTTGATATAATTCCTCAAATGAAGCTCCTGAGTGTTGATATAATCCCTAAAATGAAACTCCTGAGTGTTGATATAATCACTCACATTAAGCTCCTGATTGCTAATATAATACCTCACATTAAGCTCCTGAGTGTTGATATAATCCCTAAAATGAAACTCCTGAGTGTTGATATAATTCCTCAAATGAAGCTCCTGAGTGTTGATATAATCCCTCAAATGAAGCTCCTGAGTGTTGATATAATCCCTCAAATGAAGCTCCTGATTGCTAATATAATACCTCACATTAAGCTCCTGCGTGTTGATATAATCACTCACATTAAGCTCCTGAGTGTTGATATAATACCTCACATTAAGCTCCTGAATGTTGATATAATCCCTCAAATGAAACTCCTGAGTGTTGATATAATCCCTCACATTAAGCTCCTGAGTGTTGATATAATTCCTCAAATGAAGCTCCTGAGTGTTGATATAATCCCTAAAATGAAACTCCTGAGTGTTGATATAATCACTCACATTAAGCTCCTGATTGCTAATATAATACCTCACATTAAGCTCCTGAGTGTTGATATAATCCCTAAAATGAAACTCCTGAGTGTTGATATAATTCCTCAAATGAAGCTCCTGAGTGTTGATATAATCCCTCAAATGAAGCTCCTGAGTGTTGATATAATCCCTAAAATGAAACTCCTGAGTGTTGATATAATCCCTAAAATGAAACTCCTGAGTGTTGATATAATCACTCACATTAAGCTCCTGATTGCTAATATAATACCTCACATTAAGCTCCTGAGTGTTGATATAATCCCTAAAATGAAACTCCTGAGTGTTGATATAATTCCTCAAATGAAGCTCCTGAGTGTTGATATAATCACTCACATTAAGCTCCTGATTGCTAATATAATACCTCACATTAAGCTCCTGATCTAAGATGAGAAGTACGGACTCGTTTAGGGGGAAAAGTACGTACTTGTACGCAACTTTGAAAAGTCCGACTCATACGACGTACGATTAAGATAGATTTTTTTGCTTTTGAATTATTATCATCAGGGCCGTTGTAAAATGTAAATGTAATTGTTTGCCGATGTTAGAGAAAATATGCCGTTCGCGAACAAATTAAACGCACAATTCTTAGATCAGGCAGGCATTTAAATTTAAAAGTAAAACAAAAATTACTAGACAATTTACTTATTCAAACAGCTTGTTTAAAAGCTGTTTTGAAAACGCTCAATATAAGTCCGTAACTTGCGATTTAGAACTCTTCCATTAATTTCTAGAAGGAGAACTTTTCAGTAGAATTGAAAAGTACGTACGATACGAGTAAATTGAAAAGTCCGACTCATTCGTACTTCTCATCTTAGCTCCTGAGTGTTGATATAATCCCTAAAATGAAACTCCTGAGTGTTGATATAATCACTCACATTAAGCTCCTGATTGCTAATATAATACCTCACATTAAGCTCCTGCGTGTTGATATAATCACTCACATTAAGCTCCTGAGTGTTGATATAATCCCTCAAATGAAGCTCCTGATTGCTAATATAATACCTCACATTAAGCTCCTGAGTGTTGATATAATCACTCACATTAAGCTCCTGAGTGTTGATATAATCTCTCAAATGAAGCTCCTGAGTGTTGATATAATCCCTCAAATAAAGCTGCTGAGTGTTGATATAATTCCTCAAATGAAGCTCCTGAGTGTTGATATAATCCCTAAAATGAAGCTCCTGAGTGTTGATATAATCCCTCAAATAAAGCTCCTGAGTGTTGATATAATTCCTCAAATGAAGCTCCTGAGTGTTGATATAATCCCTCAAATGAAGCTCCTGAGTGTTGATATAATACCTCACATTAAGCTCCTGAGTGTTGATATAATCACTCACATTAAGCTCCTGAGTGTTGATATAATCCCTCAAATGAAGCTCCTGATTGCTAATATAATACCTCACATTAAGCTCCTGAGTGTTGATATAATCCCTCAAATGAAGCTCCTGATTGCTAATATAATACCTCACATTAAGCTCCTGAGTGTTGATATAATCCCTCAAATAAAGCTCCTGAGTGTTGATATAATCCCTCAAATGAAGCTCCTGAGTGTTGAAGTATGATAGTCTAACTCTTTCTCTCTCCAACAGATCCACGTGTACGGACACCAGCACAGGAACAGAGACAGAACGATACGGCGTGTAAGATACGTGTCCCACTGTCTGGGGAACCCCCGGGAGCACGGGGAGGGGATCACTTGGGGGATATCAACCTGGGCCGGCCCCAAACTTATACACGGACATTGTTAGCTTGTTCTCTCTCTCTCTTTTAGGATACAGTCATGCAGGGGACAATTTGTAGTGTTGTTGGTCTTTGCAAATCACGTGTCAGGATTCAATGGTGTTTATTGACAATAATATTTGATTATCAACTTTACGGAACTTTGGCAGTTTAATATTGTTTGATTGTAAGGTGATTAGTGAGGTGATTAGTGAGGTGATTAGTGAGGTGATTAGTGAGGTGATTAGTGATTGATTTTCGATTTTGGGGTTTAAATAATGAAATATTTTGACATTTAGCAAATATTTGAAACCTTTTCAGTATCCAGGACTCCGCATAGCATTTAAGCTATTTAATTAATAATATATTTATAGACGCAGCCGTGCAGAACTTTTACTCTCATTGAATTATCTTGAATCTTGGATTTTTTTCTAATCACTCGACGTGACCTCTTCTATTCAGTAATATTTTGTTTCCTTACTCGAGTCTGATCAGAAGACATCAGATATTTTGAATACAAAATCACACATTTGTTTTAATCCCAGCCCAATGCATTGATTTTCTTAATCATTTTTGTAGACCATTTCTGTTTGAAACATTGTGTTTAATATTCAAAACTGATCTACAATTAAAGAATAAGATATAATCTGGTAAAGACGACAAAACAGTTTCGAACAGGGAATGGTTTATGGTATGAACAGGGGTGTAGGAATAAATTTCTTCGTGCGGGGTGGGGGGGGGGGGGGGGGGGGCCAAAATTATAGAGATTTTAAAATGTTGCACGCTGTGCGCCTGAAAGTGAATGTCAAAACAGCGAAACATTCAGTGTCAACCATACCTGTAAAAAGTTTAAAGTTTAAACTTTATGACAGGACCGCCGAGAGCAGCATCCTGTACAATATTAATGGAGAACATTTCGCCGTGCAAAAGGCCTAGCTGGGAAATTTGGCATTGGAGATCATTTTCAAACACAGTTTTAAGAACGATTAAAATATTACAATTTTAAATGTATTTTATAGCCTGCCAGCAGCTCTTGTTAAATAAATATGGTTTGAAAAAGGTGCATAGGGAGCGTTCACATATAACATCAGCAAGATTTTAGCCAATTTTACCCCCCCCCCCCCCCCCCCCCTATTGACGTCAGCATTCGCCAGACCCCCTTGCCTTCTTAACCACCTTACTTAGTACTTACCCCCTTCCGTCAGCCAGCGAGGGGGTATAGAAATGCTGACGGGTGTATGCAGGGAAAATAAGTATGCGACTGATATAAACAGTTGGTTCAACAGAGTTAAGTTCACTGAAGTACTAATATTAAGAAAGTTAGCGAAGTTTTATTGTTAATAATTTTGCCAAAATTCACGTTACATTTCTGCAAGGCTCAGACCCCCCCCCCCCCCCCCCCCCCGGCCCCCCGTTCAGCATTTCCAAATTCCAAACCATCTCTTTCCCCTCACGGCTGTTGACGTCATAATATGTGAACGCTCCCATACCCACAACTAAATTGTTCAATATTCCAGCTCGAACTTTTGAAGCTATCAATATAACTATAAGTGTAGACTGTCCCTCATCACGTCGAGACCAATGGAATGGATATAATAGTTATTGCATAATTAGTGCACAATAATACTAATGGTGGTATGTCAACTAACTCCGCCCTAGTGACCCTATAATAGTACTAATTATAGTACCCTATTATAATAGTACTATATATTATGACTAGGTGGTATTAGGAGTCCTAATTTAGGACATGATGTGATGAGGTAAAGTATAGACTGACTCCGAAAAACAAAGACGTAAAACTAAAAGTTATTAAGAGTTTACGGGTACAAAACCAACAGAGATAAAACTTTGAAGGAGAGCCAAGTTTGAGCTATAATATGAAACAATTGCACTGTCACACTTGAAATTTGTATCTGATGAGGGCGGTAGTAAACTGACCACAGCTATACTTATACCATATCATTTCCAATTTATTACTAAACTTTGAACTTATTTTCGATTTTTCACGTTTTGAGTACCTACGCCTTGAGTTGATCAGTACGATTAGTAAGTTTTCGTATAGAAATGCTGACGGGTGTAAGGAGGAAAAATTAGTATGCGACTGATTTAAACAGTTGGTCAACAGAGTTCAGTTCACCGAGGTACTAATATTTATGATTAAGGAAATTAGAAAAGTTTTATTGTTGATAAAATTGCAAAGAGGGAGAATCTGCAATTTTGTTGGACAATTTGCTGAAAGGAAGGAATTTTAGCAATGAGGAATGTAAATTTGGACTACACTTTGTCTTTAGCAGTAAGGCAATTTGGATAATGAAATGGCGGATTGGCCAAATGAGCCTAAAAATGTTGGCCCCTTTCCGCCCCTTGCCAAGATTTTATATGGGGGCGGTCGCCCCCTGCCCCCCCCCCCCCTCTTCCTACACCCTTGGGCATGAATAATGATAATAAAATCGCTGTACGGTGGTTAAAAAGTCCTAATTCCAATATTTAAGTATATAGAACATAGCTATCATAAACTGCGAAATTTCGCTATCTTTCCTCGAACGCTTCTACTCGAGGCAATTATAGCGTGTCACCAATAGTACACATGGTGGAACCAGGATCTGAGCACAAATTAATTGGATCAACGTGTTCTGTCCCTTTTGTTTCTTTTGTCCCATTTGCTCCCTTTGTAACGAAGCCACAGATTTAGGCGATTATATTTCTGAACTGCAAACGAACTGACGATTTTTTTCAATCACTTAATTAAAGTAATGTTGTCGATGGAACTCATACACACATCTAACGACATTACCTAATTACTCTCACCCAGGCCATGCAAATCAGGGGGAGGATTTTGTAGAAGCCGCGGTAAATTATTTTCTGGGCAAAATGTTCCAGGAGAAGACTCAGTCTACATTCGCATTGTTTATAGATGTGGATTCTTGTGGGGAGGTGAGGTACATTTGTTTAATTTAATAGTAATTAATACTTGCACAGCAGAGGAGAGGTAGTGCACATTTTGTATTATGGAACGCTTGTAACGCTTGTAACTCCTTCTTGTTACCCCCAGCCTCCCGCCCCCCCCCCCCCCCCCCCCCCTTTGAAGGTCCCGAATTATTTTCTGAACGAATACCTTAGCGGAGAGATGAAAGACTATCGTGGTAACTCGTACTCTGTTTTAAAGATCTAGATTGTAGAGTACGTTATATAAATATCTACCACATACCACACTTTATATTATGAATTATCACAATCGACTAGTTACCGAGTACCGCTCTAGAGATTTGACTGCTGAACCGGAAACAGTCGGATATCAATCTATTGTCCTGACTGCTAGACCAGAACCGAGTGGCAAACAGGAGAATTAAAACTATATTGAAAGATTCTGGAATTTCTAACCGCTGGTTCCTTATAGATGTCAGAAAATTGTTTTATCTGCCATTGAACCCTCTGATCCTATGATCTTTCATATCTGCGCAAATAAAATGACTAGGCAGGATTGGCGATTAATTTTTGCAGGAATCAGATTAAGGCTTTAAATTGATTACCAGCCTTACTGCAAAACCTGCCATATTAGATGGCAGGATACGCCCTTGCATTTCGACCTTTCGTGACGTGTAGAAGGAGGTGCAAGGCCAGACATTTTATATTGGAAACAGTTTGTCCCAGCATAAATGGATTAAATTGAAACACAGATCGCCAAAGCATTTCAGCCGTAAATAAATCCCATGACCCGTTTAGTAATCCACTTTCAGTGTTTACCGCAATATTGCAGTAATAATGGGGTAAAAGAATCATTGTCTGAAAATATCAAGTGCTGTGGTTTTACTTTTATTGATCAGAGCTGCCCTAGGGGACCAGGATTCCCACATATTGTTTAATTACTGACTTGAACATGAAGCTAAGATTTATGAATGCAGGCAAAATGGATCCGATCACAGACCGAAATTTTCGACGACCCCTATAACTCACTTACTTGACTCTGTAGGAGCGATTGAACTGCGAGGGAAATGTTTGGGTTTTTACAAAGACATTAAAGTCATTCACCAGCTCGTCGACGACAGTTATACTGTGAACTGTCGCAGTACCGTCGCAGTAATGCCATCCCTGTGTTATAATAATAATAGGATAAAATGAACTGCTGTGAACTGTGGCAATGAACCTTATATTACGGCCCGACCAGTACACTACACGGGAAGCTGGGTAGATTTAGTTTCCATGTAGTCTCATCAAGCAGGTGCTAAGAGCTGGTAAGTTGTCGTGAAGTCATTAAACAGTTCAAGTTGTTTTCAGGAGAAGAGATGAGTTTGTTAGAAACTTTTGATAACCTCATTTCACCCTCAATTAACTCAAAAGCTTTTTCTGTGACAATCTGCTGTCCGAACATTCCTAATGATCAGGGTCCTAATGATCAGGGTCAACACGACTTCTGTCGAAATTAAGGTCAATTTTTGGTTAGGGTTTCTTATTCGTACAAGAGTCGTGTCCGGACAAGATTCACCGCCCATTTATGATTTGAGGGGAATTTACCAACAGTTTCTTGGGAATGTTTGATGTGAAAACTCTTCACAATTGTTGAGCTATTGTATTCATCCTGTATCTCTACTATAATTCAAAGAATTATTTCTGTACGACCGCCCACGTGCAAATCAGATGAGAAATAGGAAGTTGCAAAGTAACCATGGTAACGGGGGTTATTGCACGCACGTGCACGTGCAAAGATTGTTTTTAACGTCATTTTTATCGGTTTTGTTTCAATATTACGTTGCGAGCAACATTTTAATCGGCTGTATCTTCGGTTGTGTAGGATATTTTGACGCGATTTAAACTTACTAACAAAAAAATACTATTAGCAATTCCTCCCTGTGACCACGGGTTTTCTAGTTATACATAATAATAATATCTACGTCAATGTCGATGTTATGTATATTATTAAAATATAATTCCTAAGATTGGATTTGAGATTGACGTCGATATGAAAAAGTGTTTTTTGTAAGCAAGTGACACTTTGGAATATTCTCGAGAAGACTTAGACACTTTTTGATGAATGACCTGCAATCACTGCCTAAGCCACATCTGACATCATTGTAAAAATTTCATAATTGAATA